TATGAATAATCTTTTCTAACAGAGTTATACATGACCAACAATGTCTGCAAAATACGAACTTGAACGTGGTAGATTTTGAGCTCGAATACCAAATATATGAGCCAAGTACTTACCCTTGCCGATTATGTAGGCTAGTTTCAGTTTCTGGTGATGGATTTTGTGGAACTCTTTTTTGTCTTGTTGATCTTGGAAAACTAGCCTAATTCTTCTATTTGGAGATCATTGTATCATTGTGTTCCAGTACCCACTCTACTAAACTAAACTAAGCAATGAAGTAGATCTAGATCTAGATCTAAGAGGCAACACTCATGACTCTGAATCACCTGTGCTGTTCAGATGAAATATGAGATTAAGGAAATAACCGGGAGAGTAACTCATTTCTTTTCCGATAGGCTATTGTTTTGGGACAGAAGAGAAGTGGCAAAGCTACTCTGCTCGCTCAGCTGTTACACTTCTCGCCAGTCTTGCTGTCGATAAAACTCAATCAATTCTAAATTTACTCAACTCGTCCAGGTTTCTGGACCTAGATCTAGATCTATGGGGGAACCCACTGACGACAGAGTCCGAAGTGTATTCTGTCTGGTGTAATACTGTTTTTATATAGGCCTAGATCTAGGCGTAGGCCTATTATTATTGGCTTTCTCTGCTGCTGAACGGTACTGAACCACTCTATTCATTCATGTGAATCGTTTCCTGTCTCACAACAACAGGGAAGTTTAGATTCTAATTATTAGATTGGACCAGAGTGTGGTGATGGTCATGGATGTCATTCCCAGGGCAGATCTCGACCAAGAGTGACATGGGCCAGGAAGACATAAAAAATTCCTTGAACTGAAGCAGTTCTTAAGTACTGCTACCTAGCATGCCATGGTCCACGGTATCGTTAGTTAGTCACGTCTCTACTAGATCTAGATCTGTATACACCTTTAAAAACCGGGCCGTAGTACTGTCTTCAGGTTTTTGAGAACAGGCTGGAAACAGTTCTAGTTTTGGTAGATGTAGGTTCTAGAATCAAGACTCAGTGAATGTAGTGAGAGGCCCCCTGCTTCTACCAATAAACAATGCCTTTGTCCTGGACAAGTCAAGACTGTCAGTTTCAGAGTCAACTTGGACAGTAAATTGTTACTGATTCATATTTTTGGACTAAGTTTTGATCAAGATGTCTAATCGAGAGTCTAGAGTGATAATGAACTGTAAGTGAGCTAACTACACTACAGGTTCTTCAGGCAATGGATTTTCATTCACCAGCTGATGTTGCAGTCATGTCAATGAGTACGTCACACAGTTCCGCCTCTAGTAATTCATCTGATGGTGACAGATTATATCCATCACTTGAAAATTTATACCAAGGATCTGAAGATGATGAGGACTTTGATTCCATAGCATTGGATGAATCGGCGTCCGTCTCTCCAAGCCATAAACGTTATCTTTTTCCTCAAAAGGAATTCGTAGAGGACTTGAGACCTGAAGAAATACGCTGGTTCTATAAGAGTGAAGGAAGTAAAAAATGGATATCGTTTATTGGATACGATTCACTGCGAATTGAGTGTAGATATCGTGCTTTGAACTTGAGTAATGAAAGTGGGGATATAGATGAAGATGAAAAAATTCTAGTCCGAGGCGGCTTATATGAAGTAGATGTCAAAAGTAAAAAGTGTGCCCCTGTGTACTGGTCAGGTGAGTTGATTAAATGAAAGGACTTTCGTAACGAACGACCACCCCAACAAAAACAGGAGAGACCTAACCTTAACCCCGACTCAACCCTTACCCCTACCCCAAATCCTTGTCCTATGCTTACCCCACACTCAAACCCTAACCTTATATTCTCTCCTGTTTCATAGTGTGGTCACTCGTTACTGAATTTCTCCCGATTAAACGGTTCAAATGTTTGTCTTGTCAGTAGCCTAAGATTCGGAAAAAAAGTGCGTCAAATCATTGTTTGGAAGGGTCATATTTTTATAGATTTTAAAATAAATTGGGTGGGCAGGTTAGGGGGGAAGTTTGCGGTCGAATGAGGTTATTAAGAGTACTTACTTATCGTCTGTGGCCTGATAAAACCGTGAATTCCACAAATTTTCGAGAATCATTTTTTGCATAATATTTTGATAGAGTGGTCGGTGAGATTGTCCTTGTAAAATTGTAATTTCAAATATCTCAACTCAAAGGTGTAATATGACGTAATAAGAAAACTTCACACTGTGCCCCGAAAGTCGCCTGATGAAACCGTGAATCCCACACCTGTTTATGACTTGCAGGGCTGATCGTTGGTGTCGTGAACGCCTCTTTTAGACCATTGAAATATGGACAACTTGCGTTGTTCAAACACAATGGTCGGTCAGTATTCATTGTTTATAGGCCGTAGATTTTATTTTATGATGTTGACTGGATGTGTTTTGCGTGAAAACCTCTCTATCACTTGATTAAAATGTCTGTTTCCCAGATACAGGACTGGTATTGTTTCACAACGACTGTCAAATTCGAATGTGAAATTGTGTGTGCCCTTCTAGTAGTTAGGTTACAATTTTGATCTTGCTCGTCTGCAAAAAAAATAATAATAAAAATTATGATGTAGTCGAGTATAAATTACAAAAGTATAATAATATTTCTATATATATGTATCACAATCCAAACTTGTTTGACATTGAAAGCTCACTGATTTGACATCAGAGTTCCCTTATGATGATAAAAGGAATTTTGCGAAGCTGATCAATGTGAACCTCTTTGGACCTCAAAGAAAGCTGAAGACAATCCAGCACGGAAATAGTAGAAGTACCAGACCTCAATGAAAAAAAGTGTCATTCAAAGTACACGATGCGTTGGAACAGATTAAAGGGGGTTTTTTAACCTCAGAGAGAGAGAGAGAGAGAGAGAGAGAGAGAGAGAGAGAGAGAGAGAGAGAAAGAGAGAGAGAGAGAGAGAGAGAGAGAGAGAGAGAGAGACAGAGAGAGAGAGAGAGAGAGAGAGAGACCAGCAATATAAGCAATACAAATCAAGAGATCTATAGGACTATTTAATTATAAAAAAAGCAACATAAACTGAAGTCAAAATGTGATTGCTCAACTGAATCAAATGACTGCTCACTATTAAAAGACAAAGCCAGACCAACTATCTTTGTCTTTCTTTGGACTTTGACATTAGGAAACTGAAAGACCTATTTGAACGGTCTTCTCAATACAAAAGTGTACAATTTAAGCAAAATGCGATACACCAAGCTGAAAGATGTACACTACACTTGGGTTTATTATCTGAAACAGAGTTTGCAGGATGTTGATATCTATGACCGGGCTCTTGGATTTACTTGGATCCAGAGCTAGAATCATAGCAGGCGGCACATGTCCATAGCTGCTCATCTCGCCTTCCAGCGTCCACCCCAGGGTCTTCCTGCTAATTGTCTCCATGAGGAGCTGGTTTGAGACACGCCTGACCACTCCTCGGAGCAAACTTTTTTTCTCTGTACCCCGCACACACTTTTCTTTTATTGTGCTTAGCGTTTGGGAGTCTGTCTCCTCTTGGTCGTGAAGGTTCTTCTTGCATCTGGTGATCACCATTGGTGGGTCGAGCTTGATTCGGCCATTGGGTGCTGCTTTGCCGGCAAGTTCATCAGTATGCTCATTTCCGTGCACCCCGGCGTGACCAGGGCAGAACACCCCTGTAATCCTTAGAAGGTGGCTGTTTGCAATGGAAGCTCTCCAGTCACTGTAGAGCCACCCACTCCTGACCGGGCTCATCCATTGTAAATTGCTCTAGAAGAGCCCTTGCCAGTTGCACCATCGCCTGTCTCACCCCATACGGACAAACTTTTTCCTCAGGCACTTGTTGATGACAATCTGCACCCTCCAGTACTTTACATAAAGAGTGTTTTAGAAGAGCCCAAGCCAGCTGCACCACCAGACAACCCACAAGGGGGGTGCGAGCCAAAAAGTTTCTGCTCACATATGTGGACATGCTTCCGAAGGTTCCTTGCCACTATTGCTTGAAAAGCTCTGGAAAACTCTATCTTGATCCCTGCTTCTGTAATCTCGGTGCTTCATTGGTTTTACGAAACAGCCTGCACAGGTCAGGGACAATCTGCCTTGTATGTCAGACTACTCAAATATGTGCTAGATGAAAAGAACATGTCGATCTATGAGCCAAAAAAAGATCAATGTGAATTGTGCGTGAGTTTTGAGTCAACATCAGCCAAAGTGGGAATCTCACATGTCAGAAAAAAAAATGATAAAGAAAAGGCACTCCATGGATAAAGCCTTTGCTCTTAGGCAAGAAGACCTTGTGACGATTTGCATGAATCTTCAGGGTGGTGTACTTTTGACACTGTCTATCCATTAATTCCTCCAGCTCTTATTCCAAAAGCAAGCACATTATTATACAGCTACGGATGTGTGTTTGTGTGTGTGTGTGCGTATCAGCCCAAAATTTCATCTATTTCTATTGCCGTAAGTGCCTTTTCCACTATAGCAAACACCGAACTTGAATACAAAATGTTATTAGAAGCCACACTCTTATCATGCAAGTAAATAGTGTATGCATTGCGTCATTGAGCGGCGGCTTTAAATAAAACACTTAATATACAGCCCACTTGATTATGTTGCCATTTTCAGAACTGAAATTTTTATAATTATAGCAACAAAGACCCTATAAAGTGAAATTTGTGGATCACATTTTTCTCCTTGATTTTGCCAAAATTGCAGTCCACAAAACTGTCAGGTCGGGTGGATGAAGAGAAGACCAAACTGTTAATGCAATAATATGAAGCCTCTTACATAAGGAGAAATTTTTTGCAAACTGAATTCTATGAAGAGTGGGAGAGTACTAAAGTCCAGAGAAAAGGAAAACTTAACAAACAGTTCCCACCGCTGTATCATTCTCCTTTAAAAATCGCAAAGAGTAATTTTCAGGATCTGAGAGACAAAAAGAGTAAGATTTAAAGATGATCATTCAGTCTTTCAAGGGTTATAGAGATTTGATACAAATCAAGTTCTCAACCCATCCCCCCTCAGGCCAATATAAAAAGGGCACATTGACACTTACACACAATTGTAGAAAGAAGGATAGAAAGAGAGAGAGAGAGAACACGCAAATGAAGGAGTATGATTTCATAAATTACATACACAATATTCATAGAACGATAAGATCATGTTAAAAATGGTAAAATAATTAATGGCTTTCTGTTTCACTCAGTCTGTAATGTCATGCTCAGTTTTAAATTGGTCTTTTAAAATCTTTTAAATATACAATATTTCATCCTTTCAAATATTTTTAAACATACCAGGGCCTCTGAAGAAAACGCACTGCCTAATAACCGTGAATTACTGCATCAGGCGAGATTTTAATATATCGAAATAATGACCATAGCCTATGGTAAAAAATGTACTATATTATTATAATAATTATTTCTATAAGATATTAGACTAGATTTATCTTATCTATTTAGCATAAAATGTCTTTAACGCCAAATGACAGACAAATTCAGTTTTTTCCCTCTCCTGTAAAATTTGTTTCGTGTGGACTTCATGATTTCATGAGGCGACCGACGATATTTAGTTTTTAATGAATCGAGGTTCAAGCTAAGAAAAATGTGCACCATTTCTAATGGATAGGCCTTGGATTGGTATAAAATTTAAAAACTTACTATAATAATGAAAATACAGTAGTCACCGCCTAAGATCGCTGTGCTCGGGAGCAAGGGAAATCATGAATGCAGGATCTAGGTGTATGGGGTCTTAGCTGACACACCAAGGGAAGAGTCTATGGTGACCTATGTTAAGGCCTTCAACCGGTAAGATAGTCTCCCTCCAGACTAAAATGAACTGACGTGACCCATGGGTAGGTTACGTTATGACATTTATTGCTTGCAGTCAAGAGTGGTCAACCTTAATGACGAATCGCAGTGGAGGCTTGCCATTTACATTACCCTATCATGAGTCTCAAGATCTACGCTTTAAAATGACCAGTTGCCCCTCATTAAACGGTGTCCACACCAATTAAAATTCAGTCTGTCTTGCAAATTCGGGAATAGAGACAACTGCTGCAATGATCAGGGAAGTGTTCACAGTTCAATGACAATGAACTATGTGATCCTACCTGGAGCGAAGTTGTTGGCCCTACCCACCAAGCGAGTGATGTAAGTTTAGAGGTGGAAGAGCTCAGATGCGAGTTTGATCATGTCTGGGGCTCATTGTACCATTTCATTGAGTTTTACAATGCTTAAATGTGATCACATTCACGAGAATGGCTTATCTTTGACGCGACGGGCTGTTCAGTGATCTTGACTTTTCACTCTTGGTTGATTGGGTGTGCTCGCCTAGGTTTTTCTTCAATAAATTTTGATCTGAAATAGGGGATCTTACCCGAATGTCTTAGATGTGACTTTTGTATGGCAAAAATTCTATTTCTTAAAATAGCAGGATCTTAAGTGAACCGGGATCGTAAATGATTGGGATCTAAGGTGGAGACTACTGTAGATATATAAGTCTGTAAGATAAATATAATATAATATTGTCAAGAAGTGTGCTACTTATTTTTATCTATTAGATTTAATGTCCCTCTTGTAACAATGAGAACAAGTTATTTTTTAGAAAGTAATATTGCTTTGTTTAAAATTTAAATGCTGTGATGTTGAAAGTTTTGGCTAGGTTCAGATCTGGAATTAATCGGAATTAGATTTGATGTTAAGTTTGGTCTTTTGTTACGTAGTTAGAGAGAGAATGTTTTAACACACTTTTTTTCATTTGATTTCATATATATATATTTATGATCTTATGTTCATCATATAGCCATTTTTACAGAGATGGTTCACTGGTATTCCTGGAGTGGTCTGCTCCCACTACCTTTTTCCATTATTACATAAACTGTTTAATAAAAACCTTGGCCATTTTAATAATTTTCGATATATGTTAATACTCACCCTCAACTTTTATCTTTAACAGTTCAGAAGAAATTCATTATTTTTTTAGTAATACCATGACGGTACTAGATTAAAGAATTTTTGTTTTTTACAGAAGAGGAATCTGACATTTTGAGAGGACTTTGGTTCGAGGACAGCAACTGGCAACCTCTTGATGAAGAGTTTGCTGTACAAATTGAAACGGATCATATTGCAAAATTTAAAGGAATGCGACTAGAAAATGCTCCAACAGATCTCCCCAAAGGTCCTAAACCAGGTATGTTAAGCCTGACAATAGCAAAAATACAGTTAAACCCCCATTTCGAACCTGCTTGACCTAGTTTGAATATCTAGGGTCACCACACCATAGAGGGCCACAGTGAGGCTGTAGAGTAGTACAGGAAATAGGGAAAAAGCAGACTGTGGTCATTGTGATGTGATAACATGTGGGATTATAACACCTTACTTTTCTGTAACAGTGAATGAGGTGTTTGTATTTGGTTTCAAATGCTTTTATAGATTAAGATATGATATTTAATTCAAGTTCATTTTCATTTAATTGAACTTGACAAGGGGAAGAGGGATGGTGAAAATACAAAATGAAAGAGATAGTGTGTAAGAAGAAAATGGACAGCCAAGATTGAGATGTAAACAGAATGGGATGTAGCTTATAACTGAAAGTATCTCATTACTTATAGATCCACAGTTCTGACTAGATGTTGATGTTGTCAAAGTTACAACATTGCTAGTGTGACTGCTTTTGAATATTATATATGAAATGGGGCCTTTACCTCCTTTTTTTTTTTGACTCTTAAAAGCTTTGAGATATTATATGAGTTCTGTTTTCCTGTTTCCAGAATTCAGACCCTGAAAAGTTTTCTTATAATCTGTGTTTGTAATTATAAGTCAAATCTTGTCTAACGACAACCTGTTCAAGACAATCACCTGTATGACCACTTCCTACTTCCCCCTTATATTTAAAAAAAACGACACTGTCTAAGAGTTGACTTTGTCCTAGATAACCAACTATTGTCAAGGGGAGAAGTGGTCATTTTGGACAGGAAAATGGGGAGGGGGGAGGGGGGGGATTGTCTTGGACAGGTTCAACTATTTCTAACTTTTAACTCTAAAAGCCGAGTGGACGATGGGAGCATATAACGAAACTCGCTTGTTCTCCGAGTGGATGGTCCCATTATCTGACCAGATTACAGAGTGCATGAAGTATTACTGCTTGTGGCTAATGCCATCTCTTACAAATCTGGATAGATTTATTTTGACTCGGAAGAGTTATTTAAGAGTGTAAACTACTTTCTCTTTCACTTTGACTCAGTTTTATTTAGCCATTTCATGAACATTTTGCATATATCCTTCTTTATGGGTTTAATGAGATCTGGAAAAAATTCTGTCAAATTGTGGAAAATAATTCAATGATAAAAGAGTCCAATAAGATTATATACAGGTGTCTTTGCATTTAGTTTACTTGTTAAGAAGGTAAATGTGTAAAACGTCTTTAAAAAGAACTTTAAGTTGAATTTTGAGTTTTTCAGGATGTTAGATCAAAATTGTACATTTTGGACATGGTTATGTTGAGTTTGAGTTGATACATTTCTATGTTCTCAGAAGCTCATCATTTCTTCCATTCTATTTCAGTCATTCACAACATAAGATTCAAGGACTTCCATGTTGATTGGAATGCAACTGATGAGATCTACAAGTATAACGAGTCGGCCTCCTCAAAACTCCTGAGGAATGTCCGTCAGTCTTTAGGGTGGCAAAAGTGTGAGTGTGAACATTGAGTATATGTTCTGTTACACATTTTTGGTAAAATAATTTATTTTATTTTGGTACGTTGGCACTGAGTTGATTATGGAATATGAGAAGGTAAAAAAAAGGTGTTTGGTTATTAAGGCTGCAGGTAACCCTAATATGCTTAAGAGGTTATTAAGGATACATGTATACAAGGTCACTCTTCAAAATATGTTAACTGATCACATCTGAGCCCCCAAGCTCACAGGGGTTCCATGTGTAGCTTTATTTTTATTAACCCCCCCTCCCCCCCCCCAAAAAAAAAGAAAAAAAAAGAAGAAGGAGAAAAAATGCCCACCATCTGGTTATTCCATGCCGACTTAGGTCAGAGATATGACTCAAATCTCTGTGACTTTGGTGATTTTTCTTGTAGGTAGGTGAAAAACGAAGGCTGAAATTTTAGGCTGATCCAACCAATGCAATTTCTGATTGAAATTTTGCAATCTAGATGTAGATTTAGTCTGCCTTCTCTTAGCCTCTTAGTGTCACTGTCACTGAGAGACTTGGAAGATAATCTTTCATGTCTTTTTAAAAAAAGAATATCTATTATAAAGTTAAAGTTCACATTACTATGTATACTGTTATACTGTTGTTTCAACAAATTGAAACATATTCTCTCAAACAGAAACATAATAGTGTACAAAGATAAGAAACATTAGAGTGAACAAAGATATGAACCCTGAAAGCTTTTATGTGTGGTTAGTCCTTTTGTACAGATGTCAGTGGCCTAGTGGTTAGGCTGTCGGACTCGCAACCATAAGGTCGTGGGTTCGAATCCCGTCGGGGGCCCGACGTTGTGTCCTTGGGAAATGCACTTTACACGAATTTTCCTCACTTCACCCAGGGGGGAATGGGTACCCGGGTATAGACAGCGAAAGATCTTGTCAGTTTGTTAATGTTTGAGTGCTTAATCAGCTGCTTGCACTGTATGCTTCCCGTGAAGCTGAGAATATTTCGGAATGTTCTATAGTATGCTGGGGTAATAATATAGTGTAAAACGCATTGAGCCTGCTGTTGAGCGGTGATATGCGCTATACAAATGCTATTTATTATTATTATTAGATGTGAGAGCTGGACTCCAAACAATTGGCGCTCATATGACCTTATGTAGTTGCAAGCGCCGTAAAACCCTCAATCATTAAAAAAAACAACTCTAAACAAGGACACAGAAAGAAGACTGGAAGCTGCTGTGCTGAAATGTGGTATTTAAATTTAGGGAGAATACTCAGAATCTCATGGAGAGAAAAAATGATGAAATGGTATATAATATGTTTAATACCCCTTTTGACACTATTAAGTTGTTTGAGAGGCGGGACCTCTGAGTTAAACGTTCATCTCCAAAAGGACCAAGCCAAATAGGAAATTCGTGTTAAGTGCCTATCCCAAAGACACAATGTCAGACCGAGCTGAAGCTCGAACCCCGAATCCGCAATCTCACAATTACGGATCCGATAGCCTAACCATTAGGCTACCATCGTCACCAATCTCATGGAGAGGGAAGAAAATTAACTTAAAAGACAAAGTGCTCCAAGCAGCAGGAAGTCAAAGATCTCTAATCAGAAGCTTTAGGAGGAGTTGGGATTCTTTGGCCACATAAATTGGAACTAATGGTCTTGAGAAACTGCTACTGTGTGGAAAGATAGAGGGAAAAAAGAATAGAGGAAGATAGGGAACAGCATACTCTGATAGCTGGACTATTGTTGTGATAAGCAACTCAATGAGAAAAAAAAACTGATGCGATCAGGAGGACTGACAACAGGAAGGAATGGGATATCATATTTGTCCATGTCGGCTCCAGATCTTACACCTGAAGAAGAAGATACTGTTGTTGAGCATATAGACAAAAGTTAAACTGTACTGAATCATTAATGAGAAACATGCAGAACTGGGAAAGTGAAACTCACTCTCCAATTTTAGAGATTGGTTCCCATGGGGAGAAAATGGTGGTCCAAATGTTTTAGGGGAGGGGGGAGGGGGGGGGGGTTGGTTGAGGTTTGTATTTTAGTGGAGTGTGGTAAACCTTTAAATAAGGGGTGAATGTGAAATTTTTGCTGAAAGAATTATTTTTAAATTTCTGCTTCTATTTCTTTGTCAGCTGGCACTCGGCTTCGGCGTGGTTACTGCTATGAGGCAGTTATGGATGACAAGCCCCCAGACATATGTCATCTGGTGTTTGTCATACATGGCATCGGTCAGAAGATGGACACAGGAAGCATTGTCAGATGCACTAAGGAGTATGTGATTGTTGTCTTAGGTTCTTAATTTGGAATTCTCTGAAGCTAGCCATCATATTTTTTCTCTATATATATCTGGTGCTTTCTTTTTGACAGATTTATGACCATTTACTTTTTGAGTGGATTTTAGGGGAAAATTACAAACTCTCCCCATTTGTCAAATTATATTGTTTATCATCTCAATTTTGGGGGACCCCTGGCTGTATTCAAAGTCAGACTAAACTGAACTTGTTCTATCTGTTAATCTTTTTTTTTTATGAACTAAAGAGAGGGACTTAAGCTGACCCTAACACTTAGCTTTTTGGTTTTTTTTAGAGTGAAAAATCAAAACTCAACTTACCACGAATGTTTTGCTCAGTTGTGCTCAGAAAGGAGGATAAGAGCTCAGAGAGGGTTTTTCTTTCAGATTTTTCTTTCAGAGTTAGAGAAATAAAAGTTTTTACACACTATTTTCCTTGTCTTCGTGTGCAGAATAAGAGATCGGGTGAAGTACATGAGGACAAAGATGTTTCCTGATTTTGACCACAGCTTTCAGAGGGCAGAGTTTCTGCCTGTTCAGTGGAGGTCATCTTTACGCCTGGATGGAGGTTTGTTATTTTTGTTGCCAAATGCGATTTTATTTTTCCTTTTATTAATGGAATTATTTTAGTGTATTGAAGAAGTGAACACAACTTGTGGTTTCTGTGCACATTCTTCTTTCTTGTTTTTTTGAATATTAATAAGCTGTTTTACTCCAGTGCCTATATTAAATTTTATGCATTTTCTTAATTTACACTACTAGACAGGGGTCAGTTTTTGTAGGAAGAGCTATTATATTCTGAGAAATGGGGGCACCTTTTTGACAAAATGTCACTGAAAAGCTCTTTCCATAACAACATTTTTCAGTAGACCTTGTTTTTTTTTAAAATGTTCAGTCTTTGAGTGTTGTTGGCTCTTCCATATAAGTCGGTTTTGAGATTAAAATTGAAGAAAGCCATATGTTCTTGAAAGCCAGTGTGCAAGTCATAATGAAATTAGGTGGAATATCCTTTCTCATTAGGCCTAGCATCTGTATCAAATTAATAGCCATAATTGTCATTTTATAGTAAATAACAGATAAATGAAAATAGTGAAAATGTTAATCTGTGATGGATATATGGTTTGTTCCTGAGACCATTCATTGATATTTTGAATGTGTTTGGCAATTTGATAAGATCAAAACTTTGAACATTTCAGATCTGAAAAATTTTGTGTCTATTTTGTTATCTCAATATTACATTTCAGGCACTGTTGAGTCCATTACCCCTCATAAAATGAAAGGTGTTCGCAGCATCTTGAACAGCTCTGCCATGGACATTTTGTATTACACCAGTCCTCTTTACAGATATGAGGTGAGGGTCCCAAAATACTTTTGTTCAGTTAAAAAACATTTTTTAAAATTGTTATAACAAGCTTGTACAGGGGATAAAGGGAGAATGGTTGCATTCAAGTTGATAGATAGTTCAGCTAATTTCACCCGAAGAAAATGTTGAAAAAGAAGCAGCAGTGTTTGTGGTGGAGCGGTTACAAGCTTTGCCGTCACATGCAGGAGACTTGAGAGTTTGATTCTTTAGTGGGGAGAATTTTTATCCAGTGTCTCGGTCTTTCGGTTAACCCTTCCAGCCCCATGCGCGTATATTTTCAGCAACGCTTGTACCTCCCACTGTCCCAAAAGTGTATATTCTGTTTCGGGGGTACCGAATTTGCACATTTTTAGAAATTAGTAAGCCTAATTGAACTTTAGTTTTCATAATATTTGTTCATTGTTGTATGTTATTATCTAAACCTCATTACAAAGATACTACATCACTTTTTAGAATGCATGCTTCTTTTTCTGAAATACTGCTGTATTGACTGGGACTGGGGTTAGAGAGTGCACGAAAATTGCTGGGGTTGGAAGGGTTAAGATGTTGTATACCTCTCAGTCTGGGTTGACCTTGACAGGCAGGGTTGAAGCCTGCCTCCTGATTGAATGATATATTAAATAGTGTCAATGGGGACGTAAAAACACATACATTAAAAACAAAAAGAAAAAAAAAAGGGAAAAGAAAAGGAAGTGGTCAATGAATCATGATTTCTGTGTTTCATTTGTCAGTGCATTGATTTTTACTATAATCCTGGCACATTAAACATTATATTTAAAAGATAGTTAAAAAAGATTTCAGTCTCAAAAGATCTGAAAAAAACCCAGGCACACACCGTTTGAGAATTAGAATGATGTTCGATAAGTAGCTAAAAAAACACCTGTTTTGGCTTCTGTAAAAAGAGATTAATAATTGAGTGTCCATCATAATGAGTGTCCACATTTAAACTGAAAGGAATCCTCCCCCCTCCCCCCCATTTTTTTATTTTAGTGTTTTTATCATGTTTCAGACGTTTGTTAACTTTTCTCACAAGGATGAAAGCTGTTGTAGGTTTATTTGTTAATCTGTTTTAATTACCCATTCAAAGTTAATCATTCTGTAATTTTCCATTTCATTGTTTTCATATGATATAGAAAGTGGTGAAGAAATCTACTTCATACTGATGCTTCATACTTTGTGTGTTTCTTGTCTCATTGTTTAAGGACGATTGTGTAATACATAGCTGTAAAATCTCCTGTCAATTTTGTCTTTCATTATTCAGATCACCAACAGCCTGAAGACAGAACTGGTACGACTGTACCAAATGTTCAGTGCCAGACACCCGTATTTCGAAGCCAGCAATGGCAAGATCTCTATTGTAGCGCACTCTCTGGGTAATTCAGCTATTTCTACTTTGTTCGTTTGCTTCATCTATGTGTTGGTTTTTGTCCTTGCAAAATAAAAACGTGTTCTTAAAATATTATTTGCTGATTATTTCCTTTGTATTTCTTGGTGTAAAGTAGTAAAAAAAATATTCAGGAACTTGAGTATTAATATTATGTCTAAGAAAGTATTATGAAATTTTCCAGCATTGAATCCATGAGACATAGGAACATTTTTTCAAAGTTATGATTGTATATTTCTTAAAATGTTTTGGGTGTTCAGCTGGGTCTTGTTTTAAACAATTAAAGAGGTCTGCGAGACATTATGTCTGTCACTATCAGTAAAAATAATTACAGGCCATTGCAAAGACTTACTGTTAAGGGTGTAAATGTTTTTTTGAAGTCTGCTTAATGCATGTTATCGGCAGATATTATTGAGATCACGACAGTTCCAAATGACTATTACTGATTACTGAGTCACTGTGTGAATTTTCCTTGATTTCATGACTTTCAGATTAAGATGTCATTTACTGAATATTTCGTAAACACAGGCAGGTTCAGTGTTGTAAAATCTCTCTAGGGAAGGACTTCTGCATACCAGTGGGAGGTGCAACACTTTTTGTATTGGAATAACACTAATGAATATTTAAGCCTAACTAGACTTGTATGATATTTACCTTGGTGTGTCATCTTTTACTTCTTTCTTTCCCTCCTCTTTTCTCATAACACTGAGCTGAGAGCATATCCTTTGAAATAAGCTGTTCATGTCTTTAACTAAAATGGAGATAAAATCCAGTGTTGTTAAAAGGCATAAGTGACCACTGGTATTATAGTGTCCATATTTTGATTGCAAGAAGTAATGAACAATATGTTATGATCAAGC